GGACTACTAGGACTTTTTCGAAAAGCCTGCAAAACAAAGACATGATTCTCACGCGTCCATAATCTTCAGGGCTGCACGACCGTCCCTTCTCAAGAATAGGTGTAAAGAAAGTGTGTTTTTACGAGTAGGAACCTCACTGAAAGTCAATGACTGATTAAATATATAAGCAAGAGGTCCGCAGATGACAGAAGCCAGCTTTTGTATAACAAAGGAACGGCACAAAATCAGGAGTGACGGAAGAGGGAAGCAGGCCATCTTTCAATCAAATCAAGAACATGGAGCAGAAACCAAGGAGATTCCTCCATAGGCCTACAGCAGGGCGGAAGAAGATAAGGACATTTTCACCATCTCCTGGGAAGGCTCTTTTGAAGTGATCAGCTGACACATTAGCTTTATCTGTAGATGAGATAGCGACTCTGTCACCTTTTCTCTTCTCTTCGGTAATTATTTCAGAAAATACCAGAGATGCGAAAACTAAACGCTGAGTCAGAAGAACAACTCTTTCTCCAAACTTCAGCCAGGTGTCTGAGAAAGCATAAATATCACCAGTTTAGCTCCGCACGCAACCGCGCGCATCACATGTGGGCTTCAGTGAAACTGGACAACTTGCAGAATATTAGGTCACGTGGCTGAGAAACTAATAGTAAGATGTTTGGAAGATGTGTCACATGAATTCAAAGGTTGTCCAATTTCGCTGAAGATTGTCGCGTAGTGCGCGCAGTAGCATGCGGAATGAAAATGGTACTTATCATGACTTCGTAAACATTTAGCATTGATATCGAGCTCGGATGATTTAGCGGTCTATAGAATTTTCACAATTAGGGTATCGGTGTGGGAGTGAAATATGATCAATCAATCAGCATCTAGCCTAGCTCTGATGGAAATTCGCTATTGGTCAGTCCAGAGAGTTGAGTGGCTCAAGTTCCTTTGCTTTTTTGGGTGAAAGGTTAGGAATGAACATATTCACGTGCTAAGAACCTGGTTCAATTTGAATGAGCGCACACTCAGTTGTCGCCACTTTTATCAGTATAGTTGACGCTCATTACCACTCCTGTCACCCACCATCAACACCTCGCTCCTTGATCGTTTGCCAGTGACTGCAACGAAGTTGGGACATTTGCATTCAGACGCTCCTTATCGTTCCTTATCATTTGTTATCAGTTCATACCGTTCACCATCGGTGTTCCCGTCCCACACCCATGCAATGTGTAGGAGTTAGTGTTTTACTGTCGCCACGAAGGCTACAACGAAATTAGTGGTACTCAAATTCTTAACTTCCTTATCAACTGTTATCACTTCGATCAACCACTATCCGTGTTCCCGTCCTATCCCTCATACCACATGTGAGAGCCAAGGTTCTCTGTAACTGCAAAGGCCGCAACGAAACTGGTGGTATCCACACTTTGACGCCCCTTATCAGTTCTTATCAGTTGCTACCACCTTCTTCCAATCACCCTTTTGGTCCCTGCCTCACCCCACATAATATTCATGAGTGCGAACATCTTAGGAAGGGCGTTGCGAAACTGACGACGTTAGCATTCCGATGCCCTTATCAGCCCTTATCATTTGCTATCACTTTCCTTCGCTCACCATTTGGGTCCCAGTCCTACCCTACACAATATTCATGAGTGCTAGCAATCCACTGCCAACGCGAACGGCGTAAGGAAGTTGGTGACATCGGCATTCTGACGCCCGTTATCAGCTTCTATCAGTACTTATCACTTTCCGCCACCCATCAGTGTTCACGCCCGACCCCCTATATACCCTAGAAGTTTGAGCGCTCTGGGTCCAAAGGGAACGAAGTTATGAATTTCCGGTCAGACAGACAAACACACACAGACACACACACGCACGACCGCTTAGCCGATTATATATAGTAGTAGGATAGTTTTTGGTTAACACCATTCTCAGAAAATCAGCGTATTTCAAGAGTGATTTTACATTTGAACAGAAAAGAGCTTATTGGGCGGGCACATCGGGGAGACTTTCTCAGATTCTCCTCAACACTAATGGAGGGACTAGTAACGTACTTGATCAAGCAAGAGATGCGATGTGGGGCCACTGACACAGAAAGTAGGTGACGCTCCAACTCTTCCCTGGCATGCAGCCTCCCGCCTCCGCTTCCTTTGCTCTGGTTTGTACTGTACTGGTACTTGTACTAGGTAGACCCCTCGACCAGGTAATATCGGAGACGCGGGGCTCTTCTCAAAGCTACATACTGAAAAACACGAACGGGCACTACTACTTTTAGCAACCTATTCTTTCCTTTTGAGACCTACCTAACCGATATATAGTGAGTGGTTTGCACACAACATCTAAAAATCTAAAATATTACAGACACTGAAAAAGTCATAGGATTAGCGCTCTCTCGAATTCTGTGACTTCAATTCCGGTATACCACTAATAACAATAGACCGTTGCCTTTCAAATTCCTGATGAGAAATCTCCCCCTTCACGGAGGATAAGCCACTACGAGAAGTCTTCGGGCGAGGAGTACCTGGTACATCACCGTCACTGTTAGTTGAACACTACTCTTGAGGGAACTTTGTCGAAGACCATCAAGCTCTCGCCTCAAACCAACTTTCCATACGAAAGAAATGTAGCTCGCGCGCGATCGCCGAGATCACTTTCTTGATTCCGTCAGCAATGCGGATGGATATAGCCACCATTTGTTCCTATAGTTCGTTCGGCAGTAGTAGGCCTGTTGTTTCCCCAAAGCACGACTTTTTCCACTTGGTCCTTGCGAGGGAGCACTTCTCAGCTTCATTGCCAAGTTCAGATCATTTATAGAACAAAGCCTGACTAGTCGAAATGGGCACCATCCACGGCAAAACGCCACCGATGCCAGAAATGAGGAGAGTGATATATGTACCTCTATTGGTGGCATCTGAAAAAGAAAACGGTAATCACGTAATACAGTAAGCACAGCAGCATTTTTCATACCAGAAAAAGTGCACATAATTCAGCAGAAGCAGTGGGGAACAACCACGGTTAGGAACGGCAGTATGGGCCGTGGCACTCCAGCCAGACTCAAAGCAGAATATACTCAAAAATAAAGGAGCAGTAGGAACGTCATTAATTTATTCATCGAGCCCCATTCTGGCAGAGTTTGCTATCACTCTTATAACTCGGTTCCTAGAAGTCTCCGGCGACCGGGAAAAATGTGGATAAGGGTTGAGGAGGAGTGGGGTTGAATGCTATTGGTGGGCTAAGCATGCACCAAAGTGGGCGGGGTTTGCCACGAAAATTCATGACTCATAACGTCTCCTACAAGACCTCATAATTCGGCTCCGAGATGACTTAGAGACCGGAAAAAAGTGTGTAGAGGTCAGAAGAGGAGGAGAGGTCAAATGTAAGCGCTGGGCGTGGCATACAATAAAGTGGGCGGAGTTTGCAACCAGGCTTATAACTCGGTTCCAGAAGTCCCGGAGACTGGGAAAAAGGTGGATAGAATGAAGTTGTTGTTTATTATAGAAACAAGTTGAATCAAACTAATCTATTTATTAGAAGGATAGAAGTCAGCGAAGGAAATGAAGTCAACTGCTGTCTGTGGGAGGAGGCATGCACAAAGTGGGCGGAGTTATCCACGAAACATTATAACTCGGTTCCAAGAAGTCCTGGAGACCGGGAAAAAAGTGGATCGAGTCGACAACGGAACGGAGGTCATTAGTGGGTGGGCGTGCGCCAATGTGGGCGGAGTTTGCGCCAAACTTGAAATTTGGTTCCAAGAAGTCCTGGAGACCGAGGGGATAGAGGTCGGCGAAGGAAGAGAAGTTAACTGCTATCTGAGAATTGGGCATGCACCAATGTAGGCGGATTGTCTACGAAACCTCATAGCTCGGTTCCAGGATGCTGGAGACCGGGAAAAAAGTGGTTAGTGTCTGGCAAGGATGGGGAGGCCAACATTTGTAGGTGGGCGGAGTGTGCACCAGCGTGGACGGAGTTATCCACAAAACATTATAGCTCTGTTCCAAGATGTCTCTGAGATCAGAAAAAAAAACGTGGAAAAAGTGCGACAACAAAAGGGAGGTCGGAAGGGTGCTGTGGCATTGATGGCCCTGTTTCAATGCTACTGCAGTCGCGTGTGATGCACGAGAGTGCGTGCGCAGCTAAACTGGTAGTTCAAATTGAGAATAAAATGCGATACATCCCCATGATTTTTATTGAAGACAATATGTCGAATACAAAGGTTTTCATTTGACATCAAAAGGTTATTTCAGCACAGTTGTGGAGCTTTAAAGTTCTGGCACAAAACGGCGGACACTTTTTAGCAAACCTGATAGCATTGCATAGCACTCATATGGCGTCAAGCCTTGATCTCATGCATTATATTTTAGGCTATTAAGCTCTCTCCACTACATATTTTATAGTTTTGACCGTTGCCACTTATAGAGTATGCTTCATAGAACTTCTTCTGCAGCTTCTGCTCATCTTCGACAATCTGTACGGAACCAGATAAATTCAATCCATATCAGACGTTCATCTAAGCCTTGCCTCTGTCTCTTCAAAGGGAGAGCTTTCACTTTTCCAATTCAAGTTTCACTCAGTGCAAATGTATCTGAACAAGAAACGCTTACATAGCGCTGCCAGGTCCTCAACAGAAAATTCGCCTCTCTGTTCAAAAAATTGGGTAATTTAGTGAATACTTGCCATATATGCGCGATGTGATGTATTAGACCAAACCAGTTCGGATGTGTTTATATTCAATCTCACATGTTATGAGGTGAGCGTAATGATGTTTATGGGTTTTCACCGTTACATCCGTCATTTGATACCTACTCCTCGAATACACTAGCCTACTTATGTACTGCACTGTTGAGTTTTAGCTAGATTACAGGCCAGAAATAAATCAAGCGAAATCATCATTTGTGTGTTATAGGTGTTCCAGTGTAAACGAAAACCTCCCCTTCCGATTGCCCTCCACAAACCTACCCTGTTTTATCGTGTGTTCACTGCTGTACAAAAGTTGTTAAGGTACCATTCCTCGGGCTCCTGTCACCATGGAAGTCAGTGTAATTCAGTTCAACGTCAACGGAAAGGATGTTAGTGTTCAACGTGTCGACCCCGAGACGACGCTTGCCTCCTATCTTCGAAACCAACGTGGGTTCATGCCGATCGTTTGGTCCAGAGTTCGCGCTGATTTCATATTATTCTTATCACTCGCTACTTTTCCCTGTGTTTTCAGTGGGTTTGACTGGTGCGAAACTTTCATGTGAATGTGGCGCATGTGGGGCTTGTACGGTGGTAATTGGAAAATGGGATCACAAGTTGGGGAAAGCGAAGTACGTTCACTCTTCCTACCTCTATGTCATCTTGTGATTTCATCGCCAGCTGAATAAAAAGAAAACGTTTATAAAATTTGTTAGACTCAAGGAACTCCTTACATACACAATGATTAATAATAAATAATTGGACAAGTAAGCACGTTTTTTGCCATGCCTCTTTGCGAGCTCGATCTCATGATGCATGACGTGTGAAGGTTGAGCCTGTGATTGGTTGATTTGGCATGATGTGATTGGTTGATTATGTGTGATCTACCAGGAATAGGCGCACGGTGAAACACTGTATCTTTAGGAAAATGAATGTTTCAAAAAATCCTATCGAGTGTAGCGAATCGGTTCAGTGAACAGTGTTACTTACAGATATACTGCAGTAAATGCCTGCGTTTTTCCACTGTATATGGCTCACCACAGTCTGGTGTTGACGATAGAAGGAATTGGTAATCCAAAGAAGATACATCCGATACAGGATCGTCTTGCTCGAATTCATGGTTCTCAGTGTGAGTTACAGCTTATCCTTTTCTGATTATTTTCACGAAAGTCTAGTATTTCGTACTTCGGTTTCAAAAGTTATACTTGACAGTTCTCCTTCCTGAGATGAGTGTACAATATGGCTTTTTCCGGACAAATTCGCGAATTTTCTTCACGGGTCATTTCGAGGAATTAATTCATTAAATCGAATCACGGTTGTTATGATGGGTATTGCATCGTCCCACATGATGCACCGGCTATCTCCTTTCCTTGATTTGAATATTGATACGTTCACCATCATTGTGTAGAACCTAGATGCCCTATAAGGGATGCAGTAAGGTGAAGTATGTGCTATCCCTGCGGCTATGAAAGGGCGCGACATAAAATACTATGTCATGATCGCCGCAGACAGCCGCTTCTC